ATATATATTTTGAAGTGTATTGCTTTATCTGTTGCAAAAAATTTTCTGTAAACATTCCAACAAAATGCAATAAAAAGAAGAAATTATTATACACAATAGCTAGACGAGAGCAAGATACATTCGTGACATTTTTTCGTACTTCCATCTTGTTACAATTCATGTTTTCAGGACGTTTCAAACGATGGAAGAACGTTTATAATACCGTTAGTCAAACGATTTTTCAAGAAGCCGTACAAGAACATCATGTCTCTCGATGTTCCCAAACGAGGCAAACAACGCGCGCGTGCTATCAAGATCTCATTTTTCGCGAGCGCAACCATCGGTCGTGCGCGAAGAAAATTGGAAAACGCTCGCTGGTAGCCGCGGTAGGCGAAAAATATTCCTTTCTTCCTCGCGATAGCAGGAGAGGAAAATCATGGAAGTTTCAAAAGCAACGCTTGTCGTATCGCTGCATTCACGCGGTGTGAGAGAGACGCGAGTGTGAAAAATGACATCTCAAGTTGAAAAGCTCCCTAAATAAGAAATCGCTCTCTCGAAGGCGCGCACACATCCGCGGTCGCATTATTCACTCGTCCGAAAACTCTTAAAGTGAAATACCCGAATCGGCCGGCGGGATTCTCGATCATCAATTTCAATGTCGTGTGCTAGAGAAAAACACAAAACACCCCGCGGCGATGACGATAAGGACGACGAAGAGGAGGAGATACCGTCAAGATGATCTGTTTCGCGAGAAACATGCGAATGATACGGCGGTGGCCGGTTTGTTAGAACGACGGAAATCACACGGGGAATGACGAATCGCTGGGAAGACAAATTTTCTCGAGGGGTAGATAACGTCGGGAGTCATTTCTTTGTCGCGCGCAAATTGTTTTACGTTGAGAAACGATTTCTAAGAGCCTGGTCTATCTTATTCTAAGAAAAGAAAGAGCGACAAAGAAAATTTTTGAACAAAATAAATCCTGAAGGGACAATTAAGTTGTACTTGGATAAGGATATCATACGACGTTACATTAGCTCGGATTTTCCAGAACGTGTCGTTCGCACCCTCTTTGTATGCAGATCTCTCGATTGTAAATGGGTGGCACCGCGCCGTACAAAGAGTATATAGGCGACAGCTTTCCAACGTTGTTACAGCGCATTTACTATCTTCGTTCCGGATGCTGGTTCGTGCCGTACCAATTTCCGCGACTGCCTAGCGAGGATGAATTTTTTTTTCCTCGCGCACTCCGGCAACGGGACGAAGGGTACGAAAACGGACGCGCGAGCGGAGGATAAAAAGGTGGAAAGGAGGCGGAGTAATTTGATATGGTAGGGCCAGAGTACGGGGGGGATACTCGCCCCTTTTTTCCTAATTTGAAGAAGGCGAGTATCCACGAATGAAAAGCGCTGGAGCCCTTTGTAGATATACGCG